CGGCGGCGGCGGCGGCGGCGGCGGCGGCTGCTGAAGTGCCTGTCTCGGCTCCTTTGTCCGGCCGCGGACGCCTCGCCCCCTCCCTCGCCCGCCCGCCCGGCCGCCCCCTCCGACCGCCGCGGCACTGGCCATGTATCCGCAGGGGCGGCACCCGGTGAGTGCTTCGCGGCGGCGCGTGTGCGGCGGGCCCTTCCCGGTCTCGGCCCCCCCCGGAGCGGGGTCGTGGGGACGGACGCTCCCTCCGGACGAGAGACCCCGCGGGCCCGCGCGCAGCCCGGGCGACGGGCCCCCGCGCGCGCTGGTGTGGGGGGGGGGGGGTCCGGGCCGCGTGACGCCCCCGCCCCGTCCTTTGTGCATTCGGGCTCCGGCTCGGCTGCTCCTTCGGAAAGCCCTTTGGCGAGGAACCGGGCGCGGAGAGCCCTTGCTGGCCAGTTCTGGATTTTGCAGTGCCCTTTCCCCCTTTTTAAAGAGCGGCCTCCGGAGGACAGCCCTCCGAGGGACACGGGAATCCGACCCCCCCCCGCCGTGCTTTCCCGGGAAGGCTGGGGGGGGGGGGGCGGTCGGCTGAATCGCGCTGCCTCTAGCAGGGCCGGGAACCTGCCCTGCCCTCCGCTCCCCGGCGGGGCTGGCGCTGGGGAAGGTGCGCCCTGCCTTTGCATGGGTCCCCGGTGTCCGTGGGAGGCCTTTCAGGGCCTGGCGTGGTGGCGCTGGGAAGGGAGTTGGGAGCGCTCCTGGCCGCCTGCCCAGAAGGCTTTCAGATAATATTTGTCTTTGGGGGCTTTGCAGGCTCCCCACCAGCCTGGCCAGCCAGGTTTCAAATTCACTGTGGCAGAGTCCTGTGACAGGATTAAGGACGAATTCCAGTTCCTGCAAGCGCAGTACCACAGGTAAGCCTCGCGGCCCAGCTCTTCCCTGACCCGCCAGGTGGAAACCCCGGAAGGGGACAGAGCCTGAAGCACAAGCAGACCTGCCAACCCCCAGACGTCTCTGTGGGCCCCTGTTCTGCTTTATCCCTCCGCATTGTTAGTCTGTGGCTTCCCACCCTGAGCCCCAGGCTCTCCAGAAACGAGTGGTTTCCCTTTAAACCTGCTCTTCTCGAGGGACTCTCCTGCTTCTCCTGTGCCCCCCCCCGCCCTGTTGCCAGTCTGTTTTGGTTGCAAGAAAAATCCTAAGGGATCTGATAAACATACCAAGGTCTCTCATTGAGCAATATTATCCACGCTTTCTTGGCAGTGAATCCAATTTATGGGATTTACTTCTGTGTAAACAAGTAGAAGTGCCAGATGCTGTATGCTTAACACCAGGAATAAGTGCACGAAGTTGTTGCATTGCCTTGGTGCGATAAGGAAGGTGTCTTGGCACCTGGTTCCAGGCTAGCCCTCATTTTTACTTCATGAACGTTGAAGAGGTTTTCTCGGCAGGTCAAATTTGGAGGAAACCTCTCGAAGACAATGTTTGGTTTTTTAGAACTGTGCTACAGAAAAAGCCCTCTGTTTTGTGTCAGGTATTCAGGGGGTGAGCTGTTTCTCAGTGAGGGCTGCCTTGTTGTGGAGACAGACCTGATTTTTAAGCAGCGAATGTTCCAAATCTTAAGTGACTAGATTAATTCCACTGTTGGGCTGTCCTGGCAGGATGGGATTCACAATCTGCAGTTTTGGGCAGAACTGTGTACATTTGTGAGATTCAGCAAATGTGCCTCTTCTTTCGTAATGAGGATTTAATCCGAGCTGTGCTTCAGAGACGCTTTCAAGCACACTTCGTCTCCAAACCCATTTTAGATCCCAGGGCTTATGAAGTGATGGGTGAAGTGCCTCTGAGCATGCACAGAATGCAGTCCCCCTTTGATTAATCAAGTGTGGGTTACTTGCATGCAGAATTAAAGGGACAGTGAAGACTTCTGGGTCAAGACATTTCTGGTTCCCTTGATAAGAAGACTTGCCTGTTTAGGATTGTCTTTCTCTTTTAGCCTTAAAGTGGAATACGATAAGCTTGCGAATGAAAAGACGGAAATGCAGCGCCACTACGTTATGGTAAGCGGTCCGTACAGTTGTATCCTCTTGGAGCGTGGCTGTCGTCCGAGGACATGGTAGAGCCTCAGATGGGGTGGGGGGGTGAGGGGTCATCCCATGGGGTATGTCCCCTTACTGCCTTTGAGTGGCACTAAAAATTCCCCTCTTGCTAATTTCGGCCTGTTCGGGTGACCCTCGGTTATGACTCAGTGAGGGCCAAACTCCTGGTAGCCCTGAGAAAGGTTTAGCGCTGGTGTGATTTGGAAATTGGTCCAGGAAGCCGGTGTGTTGGCACGGCATGGCAAGAGTCAGTGCTGCTTGGCTGCGCTGGGGTAAAGGACTTGGGGAGGGGCCGGCACACTTTGCTCGGGGGTCCCATGAGCCATTTTGCCTCAGCCTCTGCACAGCCCGCTTCCTTCCCTCCCCTTCGTGTGCCCAGGCAGGGAACTTTCGCGTGCTTCTCTGTCTACGCCCCTCGGCCGTCCGTTGCAGGAAGTCCAGGGTGCTTCCCCTTCTCTTCACCTGGACATGCTGCCAACATGTCTGAGTTTGCTACATCTGAAGAAAGGTTGGCTGCTTTTGTGTGTACATAAGCGAACAGCCGCTGTGTTTGTAGGCCACAGGCCCTTACCGGGCTCTTCCCTTACCGGGCCCTCAGCGTATGCAGGCTTGGGCTGCACTTCTCCTCCTTGGGAGCTTTCCAGAAGAATTACAGCACAAAATATGGCCATGGGCTGCCTGGGAGGCTGGTTTGGCTGCCGGCCCAGCCGTAGACAGTTCAGCATCGCCGGTGGGAATTCAGTCCCTGTAGCTGTGTCAGTGCTTAATCGCTGCGGTATGTGGTCAGTGGCCTCGCTCGGGGAAGGCCTTCCCCGGCATCCCCGCGGCAGTCCTCGCTCCTGCTAATAGGCCGAGTGCTTGTGGCGCTAGGCTGGGGTTTCTCTCCTGGGCGGGCCTGGCTGCGAGGGAGCAGCTTCCCAAGACGGTCAGGCACGCCCAGGCTGGGGGTGCAAGCACTCCTCGGGCAGGAAGATGGCGCCCCGTTGGCCCTTCCGCCTGCGGCGGGGGGTGACCATCCCCTTCGCCTTTGGGCTGCTGCCGGGTTGGGCCCTCGGGCCGCCGAGGTGCAGAACGCGACCCCGCTGGCGGGAGAGGCGGCGCAAGGCCAAACCTGCGCAAGGTGCTCCGTGCTGCTTTCGCACGGCTGCTTTCCCCAAGGTTGCTCTTTTTTTGGGCTTGCCACCCAGGTTTTCAGGGCATCTGCCATTCGGGTTTGTGAACTGCTGTCTTGCTTAGCCTGGTTTTCTCAGAACTGGTCCAGGGCTTGCGGGTGGGCCATGAGGAAGTGCTCCTTCCGTAGGAGGAGTGCGGTGGAGCAGCTTCCAGCTCCCTCCTGTCCTTGGCGAGCGTGCCAGTTGCGTGAAGCGGTTTTACTCTTCCTTGTGTGGAAAGGAGCCCCCGCATTTGTGCCCGTTGGTAGTCCTGCGCAGGCACAGCTTTGCACACCCAGTGAGAACGAGGCCTCGGAGTGCTTGTTTTCCTGTCTGGCTTGTGCATGCCATATCCCCGATTGAAATGCCACAAATAAATTGGGGGCCTCGGCCTGTGGACGTGTGAAAAGGATGCAGTTCATACAACTTCCTTTGTGTGCCTTGTATGTGCCCCAACAGCAGTAACGCCTCCTCGGATATATACGGTAAATTTGCTGGGAAGGCAGGTCAGCAGCTTTCCCCTTCTGTTCTGGGGCTGGGACTGAGTCCCGCCTGCAGTTGCGCTGTGAACTTTTGGCGGCACTTCCTGGCAGCTCACGGGGGTGCTGCCTGGCTGGCACGTGCGATCTTAGGAACGTGTACGCGGGGGCCACATCTCGGAGCCTTGTGCAGAACGAGGTGACTCGGATGTTTCCGAGGGCCAGCTTGGCCGCTGCCCTGGGGGAGGCAGAGGCATTCGTGGGTCGTGCGGAGCTCTGTCATTAGCAGCTCCCGGAAAGAAGGCAAGCACATCAAAGAGGTGTCGGCTTACTGAGTGCTTGGGAAGTGGGGCGTTCTCGCAGCTTGGATGCCTGGCTGTAGTTCCATGCAGCCATGAGCTGCAAAAAGACCCAGTGGGATGCCTGTGGGGTGCCAGGCAGGGCGCGTGTGTCTGAATGTCCCTTTGCTTGTTCAGTAAAGAGCCGTTCTCTGCTTTTTTGCAGTACTATGAAATGTCTTACGGCTTGAACATTGAAATGCACAAGCAGGTGAGTATCTTTAATTAGACTCTCTCCCCATTCCCGCCTCCTCCTCCCCCCCGCCACTCCTCTTCTTCCCTAGCCAGGGCTTAGAGATATGGTTCTAATGGACGGCATACGGTTGCCCGGGAGCGAGCAGGGTGGTGGAGTTCAGAGGGCCTGTGGTTGCGGAAAGCCCCCCGGAACAGAAGAGCTTGCTGAAGCAAGCGGCGTCATTTCTGTCTCGCTCTGGCAGCGCATTGCTTTCGGGCTGTGGGCTTCGGCCTTTCCCTCCTGGGCTTGGATCAAACGCTTGCATTTCGCAGCCACGGTGTCCTCCTTTCTCTCTGCCTGCCCCCGCTGACCTGCATCCCTCACGGGCAGGGACCCTCCCCGTCTCTGTCCAGGCTGCAGCACCAGCTCTGGCTTGTGGCTTGGCTTTCGCCACTGGAAAAGGCCCAGGGACGTGTGGTGTCATCTCGAAAGCCACTCTGGGGTGGGGGGTGGGCAGAGGGCTGTGCGTGCGTGCGTGCCAGCGGCAGGGCCGGCCGCTCCATTGACCACCCTGATGTTGTCACGTGGCTGCCAGCCAGCCCGGGCAGCCCAGGGATTCCATTATGTCCCTGATGTTGAGCGCATCAGCTCATTGCCTACTGAGACAGAGTCATCTAAAGCACTTACAATATGCTTTATTTCTGCCATGCCATTTAAAGTAAGTGCATCAACTGGGCACTGTTGACTTGTCTTGGCAGTCCAGGGTAAAAGCCAAAGGGGGGCAGTTAATTGAACCTGTTGCCTTTCTAGAGACATTATGTCGTCTTCTTCAAGTCAGAATGATTAACCAGAATATTTTAGAACTAGTGTGTATGTGTCACTATAGCAGTAAAGTGCAAAACTTGGTAGGCATGTCATGAGTGGAGCCAGGTGGAGCCAGGGATCAGACTAGATGGCCCGGGGACCCCTTCTGACGTATTCTGTTTCTGTTTTGCTCTAATAAAGGGAGAGAAACACTTTAAACATTCTTGGCTGGTCAAGTGCCCTACATTAGCCCTGGTAAAATTCTTTAGAAATGGGCATGGAGTGGGGGGAATTGCATTCTCAACATGTTACTGAGGGGTGGAGGGAGGACGTTAACTCCTAGAAGGTGAGATGCCAGAGTTCACTTTTGCTGGGAATTTCCAGAAGGGTAATCTGTTTTTATGCCTGGAAGGACATGTGGCTTGTTAATGGCGACCCGAGAATACGCTGTACCTACTGCCTGGGTGGCTCCTCTCAGGGAGGCGCACGGCCAATGACAGGCGGGCTGAAGGCGGGTCGGTGGCACACCACGGGGACCGAGAGTGGCGGTCAGGGATGGCTCTTCTTGTGTGAACTGGCACAGGGGCCCCTTTCTGGGTGGGCCACAGGGAGGCACTTCAGCTGTTCCTGCTGCCTGTGCCAGAGGCACTGCTCTCGAGGATTCCAGCCGGGCCGCTTGCTTGGACCCGAGGAGCTTGTCCCCCCTGCCCAGGTGCCTTGAGTGACCAGCAGTTCCACTCATGGGCCAGGTTCTGCCTTACCAGTAGCTCCCCCTCCCCAAGGCCAAGCAGGCCGGTCTGGGGGAGAAGGCCATTGTTAGGCGCAGGCCAGCTGCACACATGCCTGGCCAGGCAGTCAAACCTTCCAGAGCAGAGTCCTGGGTTCAGAGCCGACCGGCTGTGTTGTTTTCAGAAAGTGGCCTTCCCCAAGCCTTCCTCTTCCAGAGATTACCTGCGGGACGGAAATTGTAACACGGCAAGGGGAGAGGCGCCCCCACGTCTTGAATGCGCCCTGTTCAACGGAGGGGAAGGGGTGAAGCCCTGCAAGGTGTGTGGAAGGGCCGACTGCCATAAATAATCCTCCAAGCCATTGCATGGTGCATCTGAATTAGGTCTCCGGGCCTGGGGAATGCCCCTTTTTCATGCCCCGGTGCCGGGCCTTGCTGCTCCCGCCCCCCGCAGAACAAAGCTGCATCCTTGCAGCCAAACCAGCTCTATAATTTGATTTAATGGCTTGTTTTCACTTGCTGGTTTAGATCTGCCTTGTAAATTAGCCGCCACAGCTTATTGTCCTGGGTAGCTGAGAAGGCCTGTTTCAGAGAGAACACAAAGGAGAGAGACTCTTCAAACTCGGCAATTTGGCTGGCGGGAACTGGGGGACCCTCGCTCTCTCCGAGATGGAGTGAACCAACCTCTCCGGCTGGGTTTCTTTGGGGCGGCTCCCTTTGATGTGAACCTGGATCCCTTGCTAATAATTACAGGCGCTGTAGATTGTATCTGGCACCCATGCAGGCAGCTTTGTAGATGCTTGAGTGCCCTGGCTTTCAGGTTTCAATAGAGATAATATTTTCAAGGCTTATAAGATGAAATGAAACGAGCTGCCTCCCTTTTAGAGAGCATAAAACCTGATCCTGCAATTTGTCTTGCCTTGTCCTGGCAGCTCCTTTGAGGTGTGTTGCACTGAGTAATGTTCCTGTGGACCCACCCAGGCGTCTGACGGGCCTCTTTCATACCCTCTGCTTTTGGGGACTGTTGCCAGTGCCCAGAGAGCTTCGGCCTCGGGGTGGTGCAGACACGAGACTCGTTGCCACCATCACTCCATTGGGAGCCCTGGCCCTGGACGAAAGGGACTCAGAAGAGTTGCCGAATATCCTAGAAATAGTTAACAATTCCAAACTTTTCCAAAGTCTGCAGATGTGCCTGGGCCACTAGGGAGGCGTCCAGATGAGCCGCATTATTCCCTTACCTCCGGATTAATTTGCATCCCAGCCTTTCCTCTTCTCAGGAACTTAGGGGGGGTCTTCCTCTGTTTTCTTTCATCCTCACAACAGCCCTGCAAGGGTGGTTAGCAGATGCTGGGCATTCTTCCTGCAGCACTGGTCCTGGACCACTGAGCTGCCCCCCCCCCCGCACACTTCCTTGGGGAGCTGTGTTCAAGCCTGCTCTGTAGGGTCTGGTGCCCCCCCCATCCTGGCACTTGCCGCCTCTGGCACAGCTTCCAGCCAGCAAATGCAGGGCACGCCCCTCCAGGGCTTGGCTGACTTGCTGCTCCTTTAGTTGCATGTGTGAATTGGTCAGACCAGGAGTTTCCCTGGCCCGTGGGCGAAGCCCAAATTGGGCTTTTACCTGAAGCTGGCTTGTGTCCAGTGGCCGCTTCTGTGTGTGGCAAAAATGCCCTTGGTCTCCCTCCCCCCGCTGGAGGGTCTTAATTGTCAGGGGAAAGGGGAAGCAGTGCCCAGATGAGATCTGAATCATTTATTTTGCATGCATGGTGGCTCAGCAGCGAGGGTCAAGCCCCGAAGTGGAGCTGACAGAAAGCCAAGATCTGGGCCTCTTAAAACCTGCAAGTTAACAATCAGCTTCCACTGCGCTTGTCGGGGTCTTTCCTTTATATAGTCCACAGGTTAACAACTGTGCATGTCGTCGTATTGCCAGGCTAACCATCGGTTCTGACTAATTCCAACTGTGCCTTCCATTGTACCCTTTTCTTGATGCCACCAGGGAGAGTTTGTGACTGATATCTTCTAGGTAACCTGTCTGTAGTTCCAAGAACAGTCTGTGAGCCTGCCCCTTTGGCATCTGCGGCTAGGCCAGGGGCCCCGTCTTGGTGTCTGCGGTGAGGCTGGGCAGGTAGCAAGCAGGGCAGAGGCCCGAGGTGCCTGCGGGTCCCTCTCTGCCAAAGCGCAGGGGAGCCTGCCTCGTCCCACTTTTACTTGGGGCTGGGCAAGCTGCCTGGAGCACTCTGGGTCCAGGTCTGCTATTGCCAGGCTGCTTGGGCCCCAGAAGAGAGTCGGTGAGCACATCTCCTGCAATATGAGCAGCAGGGCTCCTCAGTGTGGGGAGCGCTTCCTGATCTCGAGTGGTCAGCTCCAAGTGCCCTTCTGCCCAGGCTGCCCCCTCACATGTGGGTCCCTTTGAACTTGGCAGCCCTCCCCCAGAAGTGCGTAGGGGTGTCTCTGGTCACCCCTTCAGCAGCAGGCGTTTGCTGCCAGGGACCTCTTGGGACGGAGCTCAGTGCTGAATCCTTGAAAGGCTTTAATGTGGCTTGCTGCTCGGTTGTGTGTCTTTTGGGAACCATTTTGTGGGTCCAGTTGGGAGGGCAAGAGCAGGCCTCAGCCACCGCATCAAAGGTCTTTGGGCACCCCGTCCGCGCTGCAGGTCTGTGCCCAGCTCACCGCCAGATCTTTCCCTTTCCTGGCCTTCAGTGGATGCCCAGGATGCTGTTTGAATCCTAGGACAATGCAAGCTCATTGTTGCCTCCTGATTGTGGAAGGTGGAGGCCCAGCAGCCCCCGCACACGCCTCCCGGTTCCTTGGGGGGTGGGAATTGGGTAGCCAAAAAACACTGTCTGACTGGAGATGGCCTGCGCATTTCACGCAGAGCCCAAACCTGACATTCCCTGAGCAGAAGCACGTCACCACTTCCCGGTCCTTCTCTCCCCCTCCCCAAGACTTTCAGCAAGGAAAGCCCAGCTGGCTGCTCCACAGGTCATGAGCAGAGCCGACTGGAGCCAGGGGTCGGTCTAGATGGCCCAGGAGGCCCCTTCTGACTTGCTCTGTTTCTGTGCTCGTCGCAGAGCGATTGTTCCTCTGCCGTGGGGCACCAGGGCCCAGACAGACAGGCCTCGTGGGGAGCAGTCCGTGCCCTTGGATCATTGGTGCTGCTGTGCACCCTCCGGACGGGCCTGCGCGATCCGGGCCACACGGCCTCCACCTCTCGCTGGCCATTAGTCTCTGAGCATCGCAAGCAAAGAACTGGCGCGGTAGCAAGATGGCAGGGCTCGGCCACGCTGCCTCTGGGCCTTTTTGAGGCTTCCCTTTATTTATCCAGCAAATAATAGCTGTTCCTTAGCGTAGAGGCAGCTTTTCTTCCGGAGGTCGCACCCCAGTTGCTGGAGCATGTCCTTGAGATGTACAGCGAAGCAAAGTGGGCCGTGTGGGCCATGAGAAAGTCCCTGTTGGGCTGCCCAGAAGGCCCCCCCAGCTCCCAGCATTCGAAGTCGTGAGCCCTTCC